TCATGAAAAAAATGCTCTAAATCACTACTGATTAGAGAAATTAAAACAACTCTGAGGTACCACCTTATACCTATCTGACTGGCTAATACAACAAAAAAGGAAAATTATAAATGTTGGAGAAGATGTGGGAAAATTGGTACAGTAATGCATTGTTGGTAGAATTGTGAACTGATCCAACCATTCTGAAGAGCAATTTGGAACTGTGCCCAAAGGGCTACAAAACTGTGCATACCCTTTGACCCAGCAATAACACTACTAGAGCTATATCCCAAGGAGATCATAAAAAATGAAAAACAGACCCACATGTACAAAAATATTTATGGCAGCTCCTTTTGTGGTGGCCAAGAATTGGAAAATTGAAGGCATGCCCATCAAATGGGGAAAGGCTGAACAAGTTGTGGTATATGAATGTAATGGAATACTATTGTGCCACAAGAAATGATAAGCAGGATGATTTCAGAAAAACCTGGACAGACTTACTACATGAACTGATGCTGAGTGAAGTGAGCAGAACCAGGAGAACACTGTACACAGTAACAACATTGTGTGATGACTGACTTTGATAAGACTTAGCTCGTCTCAGCAATACAATGATCTAAGACAACTCCAAACGACTCACGATGGAAAATGCTATTCATATCCTGAGAAAAAACTATGCAGATCGAAGAATACTGTTTTTTCTCTTTTTTTTCTTTCTCGTGATTTTCCCCCTTTGTTCTCATTCTTCTTTCATAACATGGCTAATGTGGAAATATATTTAATATGATTATACATGTATACCCTATATCAGATTGCTTGCCACCTGGAAAAGGGGGGGAGTGCAGGGAAGGAAGGAGAAAAAAATCTGGAACTCAAAATGTATGAAAATGAATGTTGAAAACTATATGTGTAATTGGAAAAAATAAAATATTAAGAGGGGGAAAAAAGTGAGCTCTCCATCACTTTAAGGTTCAAACAAGAGGTAGATAACCTGCCAAGGATGCCACAGAGGAAATTCTTGAATAAAGTAAAAGACTGGGCTATATGGTTATTGTAAATTTTTTCCTCTTTGTGATAATTGTTACCTGTTGCTTCTTCTCCTACCTGACTGACCTAGCCCCTTACCCTTCTTGTTCTCTTCCACTGTCATACATGCCCCCTAACAGTGGGAGTACCTCCAAGGCTCTGTCCCTACACTCTTTTTTTTGAACATCAGTTCATGTGGGTTTAACTGTATCTAGGCTAATCTTTCCCAGATCTATATACCCAATTCTATTTTCTTTTCTGATTTCCAGCCTGGCATCACTAAATACCTATCGGAAATTCTGAAATGGATGTCTGATAGTCATTTCAAACCCATCATGTCCAAAATAGAATTCTGTTGTCTTTCCCCCTGAAGCCCAGCTCTCTTCTCAATTCCCCTATTTCTGTTAGGGCCAATACCATCCTCTCAGTTGTCCAGGATTGAAACTTCAGCGTCATCCTCAACTTCTCACATCCCCTCACCGCATACATCTATCTCCTCAGGTGCCAAATCTTGCCATTTTCCAATCCCATCTCTTCTCTCCACTCACACAGCTACTGCTCAAATTTAGTGTCCCATCATCTGAACAATTGGAATAGCCTCCTATTTGGTCTTCTGGCCTCAAGTCCTTTTTCTCTCTAGCCCATCCTCCACACAACCATTAAAGTGATTCTCCCAAAGTGAAGTTTTGACCTTGTTACTACCCTTCTCAAAAACCAATAGCTTCCAATGACCTCTAGGATCAAATACAGGTTCCCCTAATTGGCATTTAAAGCCCTTTGCAACCTGTATCTCACTTACCTTTCTAGCCCTATTCTCCATCACTTCCCCTCTCCCACTACAGTCCAGCCAAAATGGCTCTAAGTGCTCCTCAGCACTTTATCCGTCTTTGTACCTTTGCACTGCCTGTTCATCATGCCTGGAATGTGCTACCCACTCAGCTCTGCCTGGTAGAACCCCTAGTTAACTTTAAGATGCAGTTCATATCACTTCATACATGAAGGCTTTTCTTCTATCCCCAGTTTCTAGAGCCCTTTCCCCAAAATCTGCCTCCTTCTCCAAATGATGGCTAGCACTTATATAGATTTGCAACAGCATTTTACATTTGATTTTCACAACCACCTTGCAAAGTAGATACTATTATTATCCCCATTTTCTAGATGAGGAAACTGAGGCAGAAGTTAAATGACTTGCCCAGGATTACAAAGCTATTAAATGTCTGAAGCTGGACTGGAACTTGGGTCTTCCTACCTCCAAGTCTCAAGCTTCTGGCTCAACTGTAGGCTCCTCAAGGACAGGGATTGATTTATTTTTGTCTTGTATGCCCAGCACCCAAGACAACACCTGGCACACAATAGGCCCTCATTAAGTTCTTACTGTTTGAGTGGCTTAGTAGATGACTTGAGGTTCCTTCCAGTGCTAAGATTCTATGGTTTTCATTCTCTTAAGAAGACTGTTCCAATGTAGTTTTAAAGCCAGGAACACAACAAAATTGCACGTTCTCCCTAGCATCAGGACTTTTTCCCCCTCGGCTTCACGCTTTGAATGGAGAGTGGGAAGCAAATAGATCCAGTGCCATTTCTATCCCAGTGAAGGCATAGCTGACATTATGTACCTACATAAATGTACATACATGACATTTATGTACTTATCACTTTAGGGTTTGCAAAGTACTTTACATACATTATCTCAATTTATCTTCATAATAACTCTGTGAGGTCAGTAAGCAGTATAGGTGCATACCAGTGAAATCCCAAGTTCAGGCTTATCCCTATGATACAGATGAGGAAATGCTTCAGTAGAACATAAATTCTTTGAGGTCAACAGTTTTCCTTTTGTATCCCCGATGCCAGTATCGTGTCTTACACAGAGTAGGTGCATAAGAAATGTCTGCTGAATGAATTAAAGGAGGTCATGGCCCACAACTTTGTTACAAGGCATTCTAATCCAGATAATTCTTGATTGTAAGTCCAACATTTGTTCTCCATTACAATGCACATCCTACAATGGAACTATTAGGACCTTTACTCTATATCAAGTCAAATGCCTACTGCCCAGGTTGGCAAAATCTTCCTATTTTGGCATTTTGGCATTGCATAGATTGGGCATCAGGATCACAAATGCCAAGATTTGGAAGGGACTTCAAAGCAAATGAGTTGGAATAATGGCCAAAGTGGAAATCCCCTCCATCCCTTAGACAAGAAGTCATTCAGACTGCTTAAAGACCTTGCCTTGTGGTAGTGGACAGCATGAGATTTGGCATAAGAGAAACTGGGATAAATCAAAACCAGAACCTGCCGTTGTCTTAGGCAAATCACTCAAACTCTTTGGGTCTTAGCATCATTTGCAAAGTGAAGGAATTGAACCAGATAAGTCTTAATGTTCCTTTCAGCTCTGACATTCTAAGATTCTACACACCCAAGAGACATGGGGAACCTGTACGCTGTCCCTGAGCTAGGCTGATTACACAGCAGCAAAGAGAGATGAGGATAAATTCATTAGAACTTTCCTGAGGGTTAGTTTGGTTGTGTTAGGTGAGCCTTATAGGTATTTGCCTGTAATTTACATAGGCTGGCTGTCTAGTCTTATTTAATTTTAAAGTTTATTGTTCCTCTATTCCTTCTCAACACAACTCAACAGTTCCTACCCTCTTACATCCCTTTAATCTAAACCCTTCATATGACATATATAAAAGAAAGAAGGATATTGAAAGGTGGTTGGGAGGTGGTCTGCAGAAACTTTTGCCAGGTTAATGGAAAACACATTTCTCAGTTTATCCGTGCACCTTTTTCTTTAGGTCTTATGTGTCATTTAAATGCAAGAGTAGCTATTTTTAATGAAAAATAACAGCTAGTGGGGGATGTCTGAAGGTTCTGACGGGTGCAGATTCAGTCCATTTTATCACAAATATGGTCATGCCGTGAGCCCTTTCTTAAGTCTGGATTGTGATTTCCTTGTATAGGAAATTCTTGGTGAGAAAATTCTCTCTGCCAATAGGTTGGAAAATCTTCTGCAAGTAATAGTTTTTGGGAGTTGCTTCAGGACCCTGAGAGGTTAAGTGTATGGATTCTTATCCAGGCTCAAGTAGCCAGTATGGGTCAGGGGGAGGGATTGAATTTGGGTCTTCTTAGCTTTTGAGACAGTTCTCTATCCACCTATTCATACCACTTCTCAGAGAATTCTTAGAGGACCAAAAAAGTGAATTGTGTCTACCACCACTCCTCTGCAGGGGTTAGTCTCACAGCTAATGTAGAAACAAGCCTCAAGAAGCTCACTGTGCTGGCAGGGGTCAGATAAGTATGGAAGAAGCTTAGTATCTCTACGGCTTCTATCGCTGTTTGCAGGGTGATGAGTTGGTCTATATTATCAAGTACCTGACATCAGAAAACAATAAAAAGGATGTTCATTCCTCTAGTATCAGCAAAACTGAACAGCCCAGCAGGACTCCCTGGGTACAAACTATATTTATTCAATAAAAATATGCAAACTGAAGGAAGTACTATAAAAATCGCTTTACAACAAGACGGGTTAGGATTTAAAATCCAGAGAAATCAAGGAATTCAGAGACCCTAACCAATGCAATTGTGCTCTAAGATCTTTGTGATATTCACTGTAAAAGAAGGAAGATTATGGAACTTTGCTTTCCAGCAAGGCTCAATCTTCCGTATACACAGTGAATTATATTTCCCACATGCTGGGCTTTCTGAGTTAGAAGGGATGCATATAAATTTTGGTAAAAAGAGGCTGATATAGGTTCATAGATTTCAAGCTAGGAAGGGCCTTAGAGGTTATTTAGTCCAACACCATTTTGCAAATGAGGAAACTGAGGCACAGCTGGGATTTGAATCCAGGTCCTCTGACATCAAATCTTGTCATTTTCCCACTTTACCATAGAATGTATCAGACTGATACATCAATAACAACAAATTCATATAAGTGGATATTCACTGAAACTTGTTTTTCTCCCAATGGATCTATTATAAAATCAAAATAAAGATAGAATGTATTCTAATTTATTTTTTAAACACAAATAATTCTATTGATATTATTCCATTATCTTCCCTCCTTCACTCCCCTTCACCAACTTTTTTTTGGGGGGGGGGGAGGACATAAGAACAAAATTTGAGAAAACACTTTCTCTTGTGAAGTTTACTTAAACTCAAGTTACAATTCTGCTCCATCCCAAAAGAACAACATTTATTCTATTGAATTTAATTGAAAAAAGGGATTCTCAAGTCTACAAAATAATTTCCTGTTTATGAGAAGTAGACTCACCACTCTGTACTCCATCTATAGAGAGATGCTTCAATGACTTCTATTTTATTCATATAAATAAAACATGCTGTCCTTGCCATCCAAAGACAACATTATTGATTCTGCCAGGTATGTGAACTGTTTTCCAGCAGTAGGGATGGGTCTTTAGTAATGTTGGTTTGTTCTAAACCCTTCGCAAACTTACCCAGTCCTCTTTGTAACTAGAAGCACAGTTTGGGAAACAGTTGGCTGTAGCTGATCCTGCTCCACACAAAATTTCTCCTTGTGAGGAGCTAACTATATTGTATGGAAACAAATCCTTAGCTCTGGCCTTCTTAGCACCATGCTTTAATCTGTTGAGCTCACCAGTACAAACCAACCATACCAATGAGCAAAGTGAAAAACTCGCTTTTCATTTTTCTCAAGTGAGTTTGGGGTTTCCTAAAGAAATATTTGGTGAAGATACAAAAAATAAGTGAGAAATGATCAGTATGGCTTTGGTTATCATCACAGCAGAACACCCCAGGTAAAGATTTATCACATTTGCTCAAATGAAGGATAAATTTTACAGGAAAAGAAGTTTGATTTTCAGGTTTAGAAACCAATAGCAGAGAGGCGGCTTGGTTTGGTATTTTTAAAAGAATGACAAGAATAAAAAAGTATTTTAAAAGATAACTGACCATATTGTCTTAAGATTTTAAAAAGTGACACAAATAAGGTTGAAGGTTGAATGAAGCCTATACAGTGAAGCTTTCCTAGTGACCCCAGTTGGGATGAATTTTCCATCCTGGGAATTCTTGTATCACTTCTCTTTGTACCTCTCCTATGCATATGTCTCTTTCAGTTCTGCACTGTAGCTACTGGTATGTATATACTTCATCATTCTCACATCCCTCTTCCCGTCTTACTAGACTTGCTTTCATGAAGGTAGGGGACAATTTTATTTTTACTTTTTCCCCCCACACCCACCCCAATGCTCTATGCACATAGTACATGCTTAATAAATGTTGAATTGTTCTAAATTATTCATTTAATGGTATTCACACTGTTAATGACATTAGTTAGAGATTTGCAAGGTGTGGTCTCATTGGTTTGGGAGCTCCCTCCAAAGATGTAGATCATAGCCCAATAAAAGGAGAGATTCTCCAAATTATTCTAAGCCCCTTTACAGTGTAACTAAAGTCTGATCACCAGATGTATGATCCAAACAAATAGCTCCAAATTGCTAGGGTCTTAGAGTATTCTAACTTGGATATAAAAAGTTGGGACATGAACTGAAATGAGCGGGACTCAAGCGGCTGGTCCAACTTCCTCACCCCAACAGCTGCATCTATTTTTTTGTACCACCTGCAGTGGTCCCACATGACCCTTTCAGTGAAGGTAATGGGCAGCAGCAGGGGGCTATTTTCTGGGAAGCTACGAGTTTGCCTGCTTGTGTCCAGAATCACACAGACTACAACAAACTTGACAAGAAACATTGTTTAGTCCTGAGTTCTGTAGAAGTCATTGAGGAGGGGGCTGAATTCATTAGGATTCCCTCTCCCTCTTTTGTACTCTGTCATACATGGCCTTCCAAGTCCTTGTCTTCCATTATTGGCTCTTCTACAGGTTGGTTCTTCTTAGATGGGACCCCTTCTGGCATCTTATCACCTACTGTCTTAACAGCCTCTTCCTGTGCAAGGGAAAAAATACACAAGGGAATCAGTGATAATAGAAGGGAAGAAATGTTTTGATCCCTGCCTCTTCCAAGCTGTTTTATTAACTCTGATGTCAGCATAGAAGACACTCGTTTTTTGTTGTCCCCTTAAGACCATTTGGCTTGTACCATTATGAAATGATTTGCCAAATCTCAACACTAGAACTTGTGTTGTAGCTCATTTAGTTCAACTGATGTCGAAATCTGAATTCCCTAAAGCCTGAGGGATGCTTTCAGTTTTCATGGTTAAAATGTGACCACAGCTGAGTAGGGCAGTTAGTGAAGAAAGTTTAGTACAGAACACGGGATGTACTGTTAGAACACATGGAGTGTATGCAGTCTTGGTTCTGCCATTTACTAGCATGGCATTTTGGACAAATCTCTCAGACTTCCTGGCCTCAGTTTTCTCATCTATAAAATGAAGTAATGGCATATACACTACATACTTCATAAGGTTTATAAACTGTAAAATGCTACGTAACAGTAGCTAGTATTTCCATAGTGCCTACTCTGTGTCAGGCACTGTGCTAAATGCTTTAAAATATTATCCCATTTGAGCCTCACAACAATTCTGTAAGGTAGGTACTATTATCCCTATTTTACAGTTTAGGAAACTTCAGCAGACAGAGGTTAAGTGACTTGCCCAAGGCCACATAGCTAGTGAGTGTTTGAGGTCACATCTGACCTCAAGTCTTCTTGACTCCAGGTCCAGTGCTCTACCCACTGTGTCACCTAGCTGCTTAATGTATATAAATACATTATATGTGAGTATTATTTGATAGTTTCCTACAATTCATAAAGCAGGCTCTATAGATGTTCAGGGAAATCCAGGACAAGGTATAACTATGCTGCAAGGGATGAAAACCAGGTCCTAGAATGGATTTAGAACTTCAAGGAAAAGGAAGGGCCAGATGGTGCAACCATCAACCTTTCTTCCTGCGGAAAATCAGCAGTCTAAACAAGGAGTTTGCTAGGTGAAAAATGTTTAAGGGGTTTTGTCACCCGACTTTATTCTTCTACCATGGATGTGGATTAGCAAAATGCATCACAACTATCAAAACTAATAATGAGGAAGGTCTGAAGTAATTGGATCTTAGCCATTATCACAGTTTATATTCTATTTTGTGAATATCAGAACCTGGGCTTTAGGGCTGCTCATCTGGTCTTTTGCTCTGTACTTAAAACTACCTGGCTAAAACCCAGATGTAAAGGATGACTCCTGAATTTGCCTGAGAATTCACTCCATGCACACCTTTGCATCTCTCTCTGCAAACTTCTCGAACATGTTGGCATATATCCTGCGATCCCGCTCATTGTGCTCCTTGGCTTTCTTCTGGCACATGGAGATCTGCAGCTTGGCGGCCTTATTCTGGGGGTTTACTTCCAGTACTCTCTCAAAGTCACCTTTGGCTGACTCAAACTCGTTCATAAGCAGCTGGGCTTCACCTCTCCTGTACAGGCCCTTCTCATTGGTACTATCCAGTCCAAGTGCCTGCAAACAGAGAGCTTCCAATTTAGCATGACCAGTTTTTTGGGTATATTTAGGGAAGAATTCTGCTGGAAAAAAGAAATTCATTGTATAACTGCTCCACCCACCCCACTCACCCCCAACCCCCAATGATTTTACTAGGGAATTGGAAAGGGCAATGGCATTTGCTGATTCATGAGGACGTATAAGGTAGTGCTGTTTATTTAATTTTTACACTCACATCAAAATATAACCAATAATAGTATCCTCTTCTCAATCAAATTTTTAGACCAGTTTAATGGGCAATACTTGAATACTCAATACTGGAAACTCAAAACCAAAAGTATGAGGAGCCTGTTTCTACTCGGTTCTTATCTTTTCATGCATTTTCAAAAAGATATCTTCACCTAGCAGGTTTTACTATAAGGTACAATATACTATGGGATAGTTAAATGTAAATCATAGCATGCACTTGAGCTGATGACTATATTAAGCAAAGGGTAATACGCATCATAATTTCTCCGTGGATCTTTGCCTTGTACCTAGTTCTATCCTGGTACATGATGCCTGGTACAAAGCAGGAATTTAAATGTTTCCTGAATTGAATTGTTTTGCAAATGGACTTTATGTGCACCACACTAAGTAGGTAGGGCTAACCTCCTTGGAGGCTTAAAGTTAATTCTGCTCTTTCTTTTAAATTGGACAAACATCCATGAAGTCTTCACTGACTGTGCTGAACACTGAGCTAGCTGCTAAGTGAGATAAACATTAAGCTAAGACATTGTCTTTGCCCTTACAGAACTTATTATAACAGGGAGATGAGACACTAACTAATAGCTATAACACGGTATAGCTAGAAAGGTACAAAACAAAATGTTTTATCAGGTCCGAGGGGTCAGGTCATTTGACTGGACCCAAAGAGATTTATGTTTAACTTGCTATGAAATAACAAATGCTTTGGCTTAATTGGGATAGATGTGGATGAAAGGATGTATTATATATAAATGTTATTGTTCACATTCATGGACAATTTTGAAAATGGACAAGAGAAGCAGAGGGAGATTGAGGGGGGGTTAAGGAGACTTGGAACATCATGGGTTCAAGCCATGTGTTGACTCTATTTTTACCTTATCACAGCATTCAACAGCTTTGGTGTACTCCCGAAGCTTTAGGTAGCACATGGCCAGGTTAAGGAAAGCTGCTAGCAGGAAGGATTCAGATGCTTTAGATTCCTTTTCTGATAAACCATACTCCATCTCTAACCAGGATACAATCTTTCCATATTGAATCACTGCCTGCAAGTATTTGCCTCCCTAGAAGAAGAGAATCATTAAGTATTTGTTGCGGTAGGCATTTGCCAGGGGAGGGAAAGGGATGATACAAAAGAAATTTAAGACACTGTCCCGGACTATGAAGAGTTTATAATCTAGTTGGGGAAACAAGGCATATGCATATGAAACAATTAAATGCTAAACTTAATGCATGGCAACCATAAAGTATTTAATTCAAAATCAGGTACCTTAATCTAATCTAATCAAATAAGGTTAAAGGGTCTAACTATAAATTCAAAAGGATCACAGACAGTATTTAGATTTGAAAGAGACCTTAGAGACCACCTAATCTAGCGAAGGGGAAGGGGAGAGGGGGAGAGAGAGAGAGAGAGAGAGAGAGAGAGAGAGAGAGAGAGAGAGAGAGAG